AGTTATAAAATGACTGAAGAACAAACTAGATAAGAAGATGAGCACCTTTGCTCAGAGGAATGGCTTTGGTTTCTGAATTTCATTCATATTTGTTTTCAAATGAAAGTTTAGAATTACTTGAAAACACCAAAAATATGTGAGTCGAAAAACTTAAGGCTACACAAAGCAATTCATCTAATTGTTGAAAAAAGGAAAATTGCTCATGCATAACAAAAGGAAAATTAATGAATTGGAGCTCAGAAGGAAACAAGCCCAGCAGAGGAACTAAGGCCTGCTATCTAATCTTTTTTTCAGGACAGACTGATACTATTAGTGCTTTCAGAAAAGAAGGCAATGCCATTTAGCTTCCTGCAGTTTTCTGAGAGCTGGATGATGCTTAAAAGCTTGGCTGAGACCAAAGTATGGTATTTAAATATCACAGCATTCTGCAGCCCAGGTGCTGTCTTGCAACTTTGTTTCACTATTGGCATACAAAACATGGATAGGCCTATCTGAGATTTCACTGGTATTAGTCAAAGTGAAGGCCCAATTATCTGTTGGTCCATACTGGCTTTCACAACACTGTAAGAACATCTGCTTGCCCAATAGCAAGGTTCACATCATTGTGAACCAGAATTTATCTCAGGGTGTGCAGTTTTAGTGTGATGGGAGTTGAGGATAATTTTTGTCTCATCTGTTTCTTTCATCACTCTGTAAGCCTTAATCATAAAGCCCTCTCTGACTTCTCCTCTCCAAAGGGGAGAGTCCCAGCATTTGTACCCAATTGCCATAACAGAACTACTTTACCTCAGTTATTTCAGTTGCCTTTGTTGCACCTTTCCTAGCTCTGCCATCTCCATAAGATGTGGAGACTAGAAACACTCATGCATTTAAGACATGTGATGTAAATTTTAAATAGAATCACAATGATGTTCTACCCTCAGTGCCTTCTCTGATGATATCCAACATTTTGTTGCCTTTTTAGTTGTCATTACACAGTAAGCCAATGACTCAGAGAACTGGCCAGGATGACTCCAAGGTCTTCTTCTTGAGTTTGGTTTCCAGTTCTGAGTTCAGCATTGTCTAGGCAAGATTTAGATCATTTGTCCCTAGGTGTGTCATCCAGTTTTTTCTGTATTAAAGCTCATATGGCATCTTTTATCCCTAAAGTTATGTGAGGCCCTTCTGGAGTCCCTCACTGGGGACCTAAGTATCTAGAAGACCTATGTACCACCTGAAAACTTAGAGATTTCTCTGCGTCAGTTCACTGATGAATATGTTGAGCAAAATGCCATCCCCAATACCAGTCCTGAGGGCACCTAACGACTGACTCATCTCCAAAAGTGACCATTAAGCTTTTGCTTCCTGTTGTTTAAGCTGCTTTCAAACCATAAAAGCTTTTTTCCAATCCTGCAGCAACCTGTTTTCTTTAATAATTTTATTCGTGTGGAAACTTGTCATGGCCTTTTTGAAAATTTGAAAATTACGTCTGCTGCACTTCCCTAGAGTTCAGGAAAGTTAGTGATGCACAGTGTGAGCAGGGATCTCACCAGTTACTTCACTGCAGCAGAAACTGATCACCTCATGTAGGAAACAGTTATCTCATCTTTAGACCATGAGTTATGCTATTTAATAGATTGCTGATATTAAAAGTATATTGAAAAAGAACCTATGAAAGAAAAGAAATACAAAATGGGAGGTTGATTTTGTAGGTTCTTCCTTGAAGAGGGAAAAAACCTGAGTGCCTGCAAATTGTTCATGTTTGCCTTTTCTTTTTGTTAAACTGCAGATGGCGTTCATACTTTATTATATGGCGATCGTTGGCCATACTTTGTCTATAACATCCCTGTTGATTTCCTTGGCAATTTTCTTCTATTTCAAGTAAGTGCTTCTTACAGACACTCTCTCTTCTTTCTCTGAGGGCTTTCAAGTGGTAACAAAACAAAAGCTTGGAAGGAGACATGGCAGTGAGAAACAGCTCTTTTGAGTGCTTTTTTGTATAACCCTGGTAAAAAAGTCTTAGCACAGGGTCTTCTCACCAATGGGACATCTTCCAGTGGTATGTAGCCAAGATCCTGCTGTTAGATTTATCAAGATTGGTGTAAAAGTGCAGCCCATAGGGAAATGATGTAACTGGGGATGTTTGGCTTTTACCAGTTGCCAGTTGTTCCTTGAAAGGCATGTCCAGCCCCTGGCAGATGCAGTGACTGCACAAGGCAGTGGCTTGGAGCCAGGACATGGATACCTTCATCTCATGCTGAAGGACGGAGTTGTTTACTTGAGTGAGTGCTTACAGGACTCAGCACTAAGCGCAACTCTGACACTAGTGTGTATCCTGTCATCAGCATTAACAGGAAAAACAGTGATGTTCTGTATCAGAACTTTGAAGGAGACTAAATTGATATTCAGTGAAAGCATTGCAGCTACTGTATGACAACTTAACTAGAGCACTTAAATCTTGTCCTTTAGTGAACCCATTTGCACACTATTTATTATAATGTGTCTGCAGTGAAGGAGCAGAGAGAGCTCATATTTGCCATCAGACACGTAGTCACAGCTTCAGTTGCAATCGGTAGTGAAGGGCCGTCTGGGAACAGCCTTCGATTTTTGTCTGAGGGAAATGGTAAGCACTAGAAGACATCAAATGCACTGGGCATACTATTCAAAAATAAGCAATGGACAAGATCCTAAGTTTTTGTATATCCAGAGCTATGATGACTTGCGTAAGTTCTATTCATCTAGCTCTTAAGCAATCTTTTTAAGTTCTTTCACTTTCATACTGTAAACTGCAAACTTCCTGCACTGGTAGCACACTCAGAAGCCAAGGTTGCAATGTCTATTCACAGATACTTTGATGAAACAGAGTTATATATCCAGTATAATGACCCAAATGGGATGGTATCATACTGATTTCAGCAAAGATGCATCAGTTACTTATAACCAGATAGCCAGACTGTCAGTTCCTGACCAGAGATAGGAAGATACTCACCATCAGTAGAGTATACCTGGAGATAATGGCAAGGTAATCTAAAAGGCCAGGTAAAATTTTCAAACTTTACCTGGATAAAGGTTTCCAAGGACACAAAGGAGTATCTCCCACACTGGAAAACAAAGTAAAAGTAATAGGATCAATTACAAATGCTTCTGAATAAATAGCACATGCAGTTATAAACTGATGGACTTTTATTGCCAAAACCCTACTTCATTCAAGAATACAGAAAAACCCCAAACTCTTTGAAGAGTGCATATTCTTTGAGCAGTCAAGAATACAAGGAAAATGAAACGCAAAAAAATGTTTTTTTCTTTACAAGCTTCTTTACAGAGTTTAAGAAAGAGTAGTTGCACTGTAATGGCAACTTGTACTAACTAGAAATCCATCACTGTTGTCATTATAAGGATGTACTGCTTCAGGATTGTAATTTAGCCTGTACAAAACTATTTCAAGCTAAAATTATGCCAGAATACAAATAGACCTGTGTGAGAGTATTAGTAAGCCTCTTTCTACATGAATGTAAACAGATTTGAGCCCTTGATGAGCACCCAATTTATTTTTGTTTCTTCATAATCATCTTCATAGAAAGATACACTATATTCTTTTGTATATTCCTCAATCTATTTCAGGAGCTCAAAGACATATTTGCAATCCAGAAGTGTAGAATACTTCTAGGGATTAATTATCTTTCCAGCAGACAGATAAAGAGCATGAATGTTGTATACAAGTCAGAATTTATCATTTGTTCTTATTTGGTTGATGTTTCTAGAAAAATGAAAGGCAAACATAAGCCCTCAAATCTCCCTACTCAAATTTAACAAATGCATCAAATGCTTTTTTTTCAGATCTTACTGACTAAAACAGTAACTGTGAAATATGAGCAGGTTCTAAATTAATACCTTCCCAGTCATGCCAAATCATGAATTTACATATGCCTTTTTTTCAGAAAGACCAGGATTCATTCTTCGTAGAACCTTTCTTTTCCAAATCAGTTTTCACACTGAAATTTCCATGTCTGAAAAGGGAAAAAATTGGTAATTTTTTTTCTATTCCTTTATCTTGCATCCTTTACTTAAAACAAAGGGTATTTCTGTAAAGATTTATCTATTCCTTTTTGTCACCTGTAAGGTCAGCGAATCATAGTACAGTACACTTGCTGCATTTTCTATCATGAGCATTTAGTTTTAAATATTCACTATGACTCTGAGTACAGAGTTTTAATGTGTCTAAACTAACTGGCATTTGTTAAATGTCTTGGAATTGGTAGATGTAATGTTCTGCGATATAAGCGAGAAACTTCAATGCAGTGTGACAGACTTTACATGCTGTATTACCATCAACTTCATTATCTGAATTTCTGAGATGTGGGGGTTTGGCCACAGATACACATATGAAGATTTGTAGAATCCATCAGTACATAGCAAACACAAAATTCCATCTTACATATGCATAGTAACTGCATAAATTTGGGGATAAAATTAACTCCTTGCTGAACTTGCACCTCTAATGCACAAGGAATGGTTGCCTTGCTCTAAAAATCTGCAGTTAAAGGTGCTCTACAAGACCCCAGGTACCTTGTGCCAGTGCACAGATCAGTTGTAGCCTCAGAGTCACTGTACTATTGAATCTAAATCTTATATGAAACATCTTAGTTTATTTCTGGTCCCAGTTTTGGTCTATATGTACTACATATCTATGGATATGTTCAGGTTGTGTGCCTTCTAACAGTAATTTTCTTAGTAACACTATGTAAATCTTCATCCTGCTTACTTCATCTGCTGCTGGTGCCTGGAAAGGTACACCATGGATGAGGGTGTCCATATAGGTAAAGAGTATGCTTAGCAAACTGAGAGGAAGCTGGCATAAATCTTAGGGCTATACAGTTAGACATCTGTAAATCAGTCAGATAGGAAGGGTAGTAAAAGTACGTCTACCTCAACATCACCAACACCAAGAGTGTGTCTAGGAAATGCAGGAAAATGAAGTGGTCGGACTTCACATATACTACAAGTCTGTAAGATTATGAGCTCAAAATAGGTGGATCCAAAATATAGATTGAGAATTTTGCCGATTTCCAGAGAGGCAGTTTGATGAGTGACTGTGATGAAGTGAAGTAATTAGATATAGAGATAGCTAGAAACTGCCCAGTAAACTGGTGAATTCCCTTCCCATCTATGTAAAGATAAAGAGCACAAAAGCACAGACACAGTAATACTTTGAGAAAACTGGGAAGCACAATTTAATCAGATTGATCTGATTAATCTAATTGAATCCTATACCCAGGCTTCTGAGTTCTTTGGGACAGTAAAGACAGGACCTGGTTAAATTGGCTGCCCAAAATGAACCAAGAAGGTGATTCCTTGCAGCGAGTGAGGCAGGATCAGGCTGTCTGACTCAATCCTAGCTCTGAGTCACAGACAACACATCATCCTGACCGGTCCCAGGCCATGCTGAAAGACTCCTATTTGCAGCAGCCTTCCAGACAGTAACACACCTCCTCCTCTCTTTCCTCCTCCACTTCTCCTTCCCCTTCCATGACTAATACATGAACAAAAGGATGTAAAGAAAGGAATTAAAACAAGTCACTTCAAAATGGGAGTACAAAGAGGAAACCAAACCATGACCATAAGAAAGTGAGAATAAAGCTGTATGGGAGCAGGGTGCATGTAACCTTCAGTTGTTTTCTGTCATCTGGCTATGACAGCAATAGATTATTTGACCTTCAGTAGAAGATGAGCTATCAATCAGACAGTCAAATCAGATAGCAAGAGAATTTCAGGGATATGTAATAGCCTTTGACTGTAAAGGCAGCAGCAAACAGCTTGCAGAGGCTGCTGTTTCCCACATGTAAGTCTTTCCTGGCAGAGATTTATTTTCCTTTCAGTTTTGGGTATCAAGATTTATAATGATCTGGCATCACAGATGTTACAGTACTTTTGGAAGGGAATACTGAGTCAGTAGTGACAAGCATCACTAAGCAATACTAACTCATAACAGAAGACAGTATTCCTAAAGTAGTGTCTAACAGTTACATGCATCATCACATTATTGCAATACTTTTATAATTGCAAACTGAGACCTCATTATCTTATATGATAAAACACAAAAAAAAGAAAGAGAGGAAGGACAGGAATGGGAGTGGAGGCACATGTACGTGACAGAGATTATCACAAAAGACTGTACTGGTAGCCATGTAGAGAGGCAGCTGGAGAGACAAGGGTCTGCGTCTCTGTGGCCAGAAGCTGAAGAGACTGCTCTAATAGGGAAATTTTTATTACTTGGACTACAAGAAAAAAACAGAGGGAGATGGCACATGAAAAATGTGGATTTGTGCTGGAGTAAGCACAGGAGCACAGTGAAATAGCTCCAAAGAATTGTCTATTTTGCTCAATATCCTGTCCTACAGTGGATCAAACTGAAAGCACGCCTAGCCCCATATCTGGTGTTCAGTAGCTGCCAATAGCTGATGCTAAAGGAAGAATATAAAATCAGTGCAAGTGCGAAGAGATACTCCCATTCCTAGCCACCAGAACCTGCATCTCTTGGACATCCTGAACCAAGGAAGTTATCTTGGTAAATAAGGCGATCAACAAAAGTGGGAAGCATTGCAGGATGATGATGACCATAACCAGAAAGATGACCTCAAGCAAAAGGAAGACTCCCATCCAATCACTCAGAAAATAGATGGAAGGAGAACTAAGAATAGGTGGCAGGTGACCAAGGAGCTAAAAAAAAGGAAAATAAATAAACAAGCAAAATAAGTAGAAAATTGTTCAGCTGTTTAGATTAGCTCTGTTTCTAAAGAAAGTGCATTCCGCATTAGCCTCCACATGCAGAGCATCAGAAAGTCACAGCCTGTGCTCAGTTCCAGGCTGCATAAGACTCCCAGTGTCCAGGGCAGGCTTGTCTCAGTGAGATGCCAGTACTTGCTCTTCTTTGCTGTTTTTTTTACCTACCAGTTTTGCCTACTTGTTCTCAGTGATCATTGAACGTAGGCATCACAGCGTTATCTAACAACTCCATGATTGCCTTTTTGCAATCACCTCCTGCCAGTTCTGGTCTGTGCTGCGGGGCATGGAGTGCTGTGGTGCATGAGGGAGGAAGGCCTTGTTCAGTGCATCAGGGCTAGCTGAGGAGATGCCATGAGGATTTGGGCATGAATTAGAAAGGGGAGATGGTTCAGGTCAGAAACTGCAGTCATTATTTGGTTGTACAAGAATCCTGTGAACTTCTCTTGTGAAATTTTGCTACCCACAATAGCAGAAATCCTTCCCTTCCCAAAATCAGCCATTCAGAAAATATTGCTGCTCCTTCTGAGCAGGAAAACAACCTCTTCTGGTTTGAGATCTCAGCTGGAGTTAGAAACGTGCAGGATACCAACCCAAATTCCCCTGTAATTTAAGGGCATTCTTACCCAAAGTTTCCATCCTGTCTCACCACTAATTCCTGAAGTAAAAAATAATTTTCGTCTGAATATTTGAGAAACTGAGTCGCCAGGGACCAGTTACTTATAAAGCACTATTGCTGATGTTCGTTACTTGTATCATGCGCATCTGAATTCTCAAGGTTCTGCTTCACTGCTTAATATCTCAATTACCATGAAATGAAGAAAGGCATCAAGGGCTGAGAATGTAGCCGGATGGCTCTTTACAACATGGTCTAAAAAGCATGTGTTACTAAACAGGTGTAAAAACAAAACCAAAAATTTGTCAGAGGTTATGGCTGCAATGCAAGGCATGTATTTTCTGATTGCACCTTGCCAAAAGGCATTCTTGAGAGTCTGTTGCCAGAAAGAGCTTGTTAAAGTGACATCAGAGGAAAAATACTAATTTACAATGTGTGCTACGTATTTTTCAGGAGCCTCAGCTGTCAAAGGATAACACTGCATAAGAATTTGTTTCTTTCTTACGTGCTGAACTCCGTGTTTACAATTGCCCACCTCATTGCTGTTGTGCCTAACCCGGGCCTTGTAAAAAGGGATCCTGTAAGTACTGCATGACTTCTCTCCAATTACTACAGCTGTGCCGAAACCCGACATTCCCATTCACTGGTTAATGACAGCCGTCTGGTAAAACACACACGGAGGGTGCAGATTCTGAGAATTTCACTCGACCTTGCTCAGATCTTTTACCAAGCAATAAAAATCTTTGAATTTGATACAAGAGGGAAAAGCCTAAGACTTGCTCCAGCCAGCCCATCCATATAAATGTGTATCAGAACCCCACCGCTCTTAGCACTACCTACCCGACATTTACCAACAAAGCTCCCAATGGGACTGGTGCTCTTGGTGGCCACATGTCCTTTCTCACAGACACACACACTGGGGAGGGGCAGGGATGGAAAGGGTTATGGCTTTTTTCAAAATCCCCCCAAAAGATCTGTTTCCTGCCCTTTTTTTTTCTTGGGAGGTGGTAAATCAAAACAAGAGCTTCCTTCACTGCTCTTAGATGATGGTACAAATTGTGCCAGTCCCTCAGCTGATAAATACATGTGGCAGATCTCGGTCACCTGAGATTGATCTTGCTCTTGCACAATTGCATTGCACTTGCCTTTGCTACAGCACCCCCAGCTGATGTGAAATTAATACAAGCCTAGGAGTCTCTCAACTTGTGCCACAGCACTGATCAGCTTGTCTTCTAATAAAAGTGTTCAATTATGCTTCAACCATTTATTTGCTTCTAATTTTGTGAATGCAATTAAACGTTAGCACCTGATATGGTCACATGTGTGTCGCTCAAATGTGTGCTGGTTAAGTAAGCTAATTAAAGCAGGAAATATATAGACTAAAGAAAATATTAGCAGTTCCAGGGACCATCTGGAGATCAAAAAATAGAAGAGCAGAAGAATAATTAAAAAATCACACATTTTGTTTCTCCTTAGTGCAAAGCATCATACATACGTAGCCTGTGCAAGAGAGGCAATGAAAATACACTTGATATTTGAAGGTAAAAAGCTGGAACATGGTATTAGGCACCTAAATTGAAGCAAGATCATTACCTCAGGGTTAAGAGTGATACTTTCTGACAGCAGAAGTAAATTATGTGAAGTGCTTTAAACTAAAAGTTGAAGCTGCAGCAAGGACTCTTGTGCTCTAAGATTTCATTTAAAAGCTGTGTCTAGTGCCTTTGGGCTGGATCTTTATTGGGAGTGAAATCTTGACCCCAGTGAATTCAATGTCAAAGCTCTCAGAGGCTTCGGTAGAGCCATGTAGCCACAGGACAGGTACTGACACACTGAGCATCACCTGATGAAAACCCTGACCTCTATTGCTATGACAACAGACACTATAGAAACAACATAAGTGGTTCCCTTTGGAGGCAGTGGAGCCCCAGAGCAGTGCAGAGGCTCATGTATGCAGTCAGCTTTCAGGTCTCAGGCCAGACTATGAAGAGAACCCTTAGTGCTGAATATGGTCAGAGAAACTGCCCAAGCCGGTGTTCTTCCACTGATTTTACCAAATACAGCTGTGATAGCAAACCTGGCCACAGCTGGTTAACTAAGCACATGCTTGGATGAACAGAGCTGTTGTTTTGCACTTCTTCCAAAGCAAATTTGCATGTCTTTGACTGAGCAGTGAGCTGCTCTCTAGAGGTGAGGAATTAGGAAAAAAAGTGAGTAAGTAAGTAAGTAGTAAGTTCAATCTTCCAACATTACTAGAAAGTGTATTGTTATTTTAGTAACATAATAAACTCGTAAAAACATGACTGAAAAAGAAAATGAACTGCCAGGGCAACTGTTTAACACATGATGGAATTACATATAGTCTCCATGTGAGTATATGAAGACTTAAACGATTTATGTTAAAAATTCACTTATTCCACCAAGTACTTTCTTTAATGCCAATTAGCGGAGAAAATGAAGGCTTTATAGCTTGGTTTTTTTCTGTCCCTAGTGCACCCTCTGTTTTATTAAGTCCATTTTAAGATGACTACTTCTGACTTTTTGTAGTTTGCTGGATTTATCCACATTCCACTTGTGCAGCTTCTGAGCTTGACAGGCTCATGTGTGTGTGGCTCCTACCTCCAGTATACACAGAAATAAAAGGAATGTGTAAAAGGAATTTCAGTCACAGATACCCCGTATGTAATGGCCATATACAGAGGTGAAGTTGGTGGTATTTATTCTGCAAAATAATAAATGTGTTTCTGCCCCAATAACTCTTGCCTTTTTTTTTCTGCATAAACTTGCACAATGATTTTAATATGCAATGCCATGGGAAAATACAGTGAATACACATTTATGAGGATATCAACAAATCCATACAACTTTGAAAGAAGAAGGCTTTGTTAAATAACAAGGAAAACGAGCAAGAGAGGAAATTCATCCCTGACACCAAGACACCCACATTCTCCCTGTATCCAGACACAAAAGATGTGAGGCAATTCAAAGCATCATTTACATGATCGTACTGCATCCTTACTTGCATATAGTTTGCAGCACAGAGTTAAGCCCTGTGATGATAATCCTGCTCATGTAAAATGGTAAGTCAAGCCACTTTTTCAATAGATACTAATTTGCTTTCTGCCTCATTTTTTTCTGCTTTCTAGTTATATAATTTTCTCTTTCTCTGTCTTTGTCTCAGATTTATCTGGATCTGAAAAGATGGAAGAAAAAGATGTGCGCTCAGATGGCCATAAAAGAACCAAAGAAGCAATGAAAAAGGTTCAGGGACACTTGAACAAAAGAAAAATCAGGACATGTGTATGAACACTTACGTATATTGAAAAATGTTACGTGAGCTGGTCTTTTGCGTGTTGTCTCTAAAGTACCAACTGAATTCATTACACTGTTAAGTGGAACAGATTTTACAGGAATGGATATCTTCTATCACCTTCTTAAGTGAGACTGACCCACAGAAGAAGGGTGATTTGTGAACTGCACATCATGTTCTCCATTAAAAACCATGGAAATATAAATAAAACTCTTGTTGCCTAACTTTTTAATATAAACTTGTAGATCTGTATTTGTCATGTTTTTTATTTCACAAGACTGGTAATTTTAATACTCAAATACTTTACAACTCATGGCTGGATGAATAGCTCTGCTGATGAGAAACTGAATAATTGATCAGCTCCATGGGCACCAGTATAAACATGTTTGTAGATGGGACTAAGTTTGATCACAAATCAGTAATGGCTCAGTAATTGGAAAATCATTCAGGAAAGCTTTAAGAGATCTTACTGAATTTTTATCGCTTTCCTGTTCTAGCAGAGATAATATCTGTTTTCTTCTTTCTCCAGGCTTTTCTGTAGTCTCTTCACTTTTCTTGTACTGGTTTCTCCTTCACTTCTGACATTGTATGGTGTGAAAGTTTCAGTTTAAATTGCAGTTTTATAGAGCCCACAGCAAGGACGAGAGCCCTGTGTGGGCTCTCATGCTGATCATGGTATGTCAGAGAATAAGGACTCAGCATCCATTCAGGCATGCTCCAATCTCACTGTCAAGACCTAGCTCTCTGCCACACAGCTTATTTGAGCCTTAATGTGTAAATAATCTATATGCCCACTTCCATGGGTACAGCAGCAGAGCTGGTGAGGGAGAACCCATCCAAAGCAATCCATGTTTTATTACAAGCACCATGATCTCATTTTCTCAGCAAGGACAGACTGGGCGTGGGCTTGGCTGACCCTGACACTGTCCTTTCCCCCAGCAGTACCTGTAACTCAGCTCTTGCTGAGGTGGAAAGTGCCTTGGACATGAGGTGTGATACGCTGAAGCCTGTTCTTGCCTCCTTCTGTAGATGTAGGTAGACTTTTAAGATCCTGAGCTAGTTTATCACTCCCTAACAAAGTGGTAAACCAAGTTTTTCTAAGAGAAAGTGAGAAATCAAGCACAAAAGCTGGTGTCCACTAGCATTACAGTCTTTAAAGCAAGGTCATTAAAAAAATCTGTATCCTCATGAACACTACAACACTATAAATAATCTCACCATTGACTAAATCAAGTGAAAGCCATGACTGCCCAAGTGTGTTAGGTTTTCCTCCCTATCACTGTAAAACAGTAGAAATAAAAAGTTGAGCTGTGTGGGAAGATGAAGAGTGTATAAAGGGGTAGTTACTGTGATTTATGGGGTTACAAATCTGTTGACTCCCCTTGTTATCAAAGGAATAGACAGGGAATGAGAGCCAGGAAACAAGAGATTCACAACATTTCAGGAACAGCGTTAATTTTAAGTCTTTTACCATGTATGTGTTACCTTCCTCATCTCTTGTTGCTTTCACTTCCTTCTGATATAGCCTGGCAAAGCCTGGGGATGGTTAAAATGTATTTTTCTCAAATGCGGGGCCCATAGCTGAAACCACTGAAGACAAGTGATGAAAATGCTGCCCTATGTGACTTGTGTTTGCCTCAGCAGTCCCAGCAGTCCCCACGGTGCAGTCTCCACTGGAAGCAGCAAAGTTGGAGCTCCGCAAAGGAGAAGGACGCTTTGATCCTCTGAGTTGTTTCATTTATTATGATTGGCGTAGAGCTTCAGGAGGCTCCATTCTTCTTAAATTAATTTGATTCTTTATTAATGTGACTATTTTCAAACTTTTCCTGTCCCTCTCAAAGCATCTCCACAGTCTTTCATCTTAGTACATCTGTTCCTCCATCCTGTTTCCAGTAGATTACTTACAGGGAACTCCAATGACAGTTCAGTCTCAAAGAGATGGCTCAAAGCTATTCTAGAGTAACATAATTAATCAAAGACCAGACTTCTAGCAGGGACTTAGTGGGCAATAACTAGTGGTCATGTCTCTTGAGTCTTCTATGCTAGGAGAGGGTCAGTGTTTTTGTGAAAGCTATCATCATCTTGCCTAAGAGCCCTTCATCTAATGAAAGGTCCAACTGACTTTTTAACGCACACCTTTCTTAGATCCATAAGGATGACGCTGGTAATTGGGAAACCAATAGAAAGTGAGGGAAAACAGGAAAGCTTTTCTCTAATGCTCAGGTTTAGAGAGAAACTATCCCACCTAAGGAACCTTTTTGAATTGGACAACAAAGCACTGTATCACATTTCTGAGGCTCATAGGTGCAACAGCTGAGCCTGAGAGGGGCAGGCAAGCACAGTGCCTGGTGTGCATGTGTCTACAGGGAGGTCACCTCAGGAGATGACAAGGAAAGGAAATCCTTGCTCTATCTGCCTCTGCCTTAATCCACCAAAGAGTACTGACACATGGATAGGACAGTCCCTCCTCCTGTCATTGCATTTCTCTAGTATCAGCTGAATTGCACTTATCAGGGTATAATTCTTTGCTTCCTAGCAGCTTTTGTTGTCTAGACTCCCCCTCACCAGTCCTCTCCAGCAGTGCTAATCCCCAGTGACAGGAAAATGGGTCAGTACTGTGCAGGATGCACAGGAACGGGATCTCCTGCTCTCCAGGTCCAGCATCCAGGCACGGCCAGTGCATGATCACTGACAGTGTCCTGTGCCTGTGAGCAAAGGGCAGTGTGACTTTCCTTGGAGGCCAAGAATGGCTGTGACTTCAGTTCAGGAAGGTGTGTTCACCTTGAAGAGGATGAGTTTGTTTTATGCTGGTGAACCATTTGCAATTGAAGTTTCTGCCAGCAGTAAGCTCATAGGTAGTGTCAGGACTGTGCTGTACCAGTTTTACCCATATTGAAATCACTGTGTTTCTCTGGCATAACACTGCAGTAATTCAGATGTAAATCAGAATCTCTTCTTCCACCCTAGGAAAGATCAAGTCTTCACCCTCCCACGAGGTTCAATGAGATTAATGCAGACCAAGGGACATTGTGAATTCAGAACCAGCCAATCTTGAAAGAATTCTTACAAATTTTCAAGCTGGAATAATATCTGCATTCATTTTAAGGCAGATCTGTCAGGGTCTTCAGGCATGAAACAGAGCAGTAATTCCCATCATTTTTCCCAAGGTCTTAATATTCTTGTTTATATTCTCAAAACTCTCAGAGTAATAGAGAAAACAGAGCACCGTGTAATCCTGGTGGTGTCAGATTCACTGATCTGATGTGGCATACCATGCCCAGAATATGAAGTATGGATGATTAAAGGACATTCATAGCATTCATAATGACACTTCTCTAAAGAATATTTGTGGTTTATGCAGAACAACTGAATCTGGACTGCAGAGAAGTCAGTCAGTTAGTCACCATATCTGAGAAAGATCTGAGCTTTCTCACAACATTATTATGGTTGTTTTCTCAATGGGAGGGTGCCATCAAATTAACAGCTGCCATCAGGAGGGGAAAAAAGGGGTTTAAGAATCTCAGAATAAGAAATCATTTTGGGACAGATTTCCTCATCTTACTTCCCTCAGGAATTATTCTGTCTACATGTCAGCTGCTTGTTCTTCTTTTAAAGCAGAATCAATTGGTAGGCTGAGGTTTCTCAGAACTGTTATAGCATCATGAAGGGAGCTTTCTTGTAGCCCAGTCACGACGTATTTCATGTCAAAATAACCCAGGCTCTGTCAGATCCTGCGGATGGTATTTTGGCAGTGTGATCCCTACATGCAGCCTCTTGTATAGGAGATGGAGTGCCGTTTCCTCCAGAATTGTGATTCCAGAAAGGACTTTGTACTGCAAAATGCATTGCTGTCCCAAAGCTGAAGGCATTGGATCTGGGCCTTGTTCCCAGGCTTTCAGGCTGCTTCTTTTCTGCTCAGTTGAGGAAGACTTGCACTCTCAGCCACAGCAGGGATGGAGGCCAAATATCTGGCACAAAGGCCAAACTGCAGATTTAAAAGTCTCTGTGAATGGTCTGATTTATCCTGTCCTTCCTCATCATTATGCACCTGCACTGTCTCTGGACCCTGAAACTCTGCCGTTGTGGCAGTGAAAAGCCAGCACTCCCAGGACAGCTGTTTTCCAAATGGCAAACTCGACATCCCTGGTCTTGCTGTCATCCACTGCAATTCTCCTGTCTGGCCACAGTGGCCATTTGCAGCCCCTGGGGTTTGTATTTAAGCTGGTCACAGTGAAGCACACACTGCCTCTATGTGCAAAATGAGTGAATCCACTCCAGCTTTGCAAAAATACATGATGTGCCTTCAGAACTGCTGCTCAAGAAAGGTGTACTTATTTTACCTTCAGAACTGAGCTGCAGAGGTCCCTTGAAGGGCTGTTGCAGAGTTGTGCTTGACTGACTTCTGACATTAATTCAGTTCTCCATGCTTTACTGAGGCTTTTTATTATTTTTCCCTTTGGTTTTCCTCAAGACATAAGAGAGGTTTGTAACTAGGAAGTGAAGATTACCTAAAATGTGTAAAATGTGTAAATGTGCCTGTAACTAGTGGAGTGCCCCAAGGGTC